CTGCTTGCCGTTCGCGGCCTCTCCAGCCGCCACCGGCGTGGTGTGGCGCCATCCGCTCCGTGGGCGGGGGAAGGGAAATTACCCCACACACACACGCAGACACACATTAACACCCGCGAATAACTGAGAGTGTTAAGTCAGTTGGCGTTGTCTTGCTTCTGTTTTGTTGTTATTTTTGCTATTTGGTCTCACCTGTGGCTGCCTGCGCCTCGCTGAGTCTTCCTTCCACTCCACTTCTTTCTTCGCCTTCTTCTTCTTGTTCTCCCTCGCTGTGTGATTGTGCGTGCATGCATTTGTAAGGAGACTCACCGCGGAGTGGGTGAGACGGTGTGGGCCCAAAAGCGACGAAGCGAGGCGGAAAAATCGTTTCTTTTGCCAGCCCCACTGTTGCACTCACACACGCACGTATTCATTGCCGCGCACCTCGCCCGTGTATTATATTCGTAGGCTGCTACAGTGGGCGCCATGCATGAACGGGCACCGTCGATTGCCTTGTCGCTGCTCTTCAGCGTCGCTGTTTCCCTCACTATGGTGCTGGTGATTTTATGCATGAAGCTCAACCGGCGTTTGACCCTGGAGCGGCAGCGCAGAAGGGTTCAGCGGAGGGAGCTACTTCAACTGACGCAGAACATGCAGGAACAGGAGGTTTGGAGGCGCGAGCACCTTTTCCGCGTCGTCTCCATCCTGCTCAGTAGGGGCGAGGTGCACAGGGGGATCCCGCTCGTCATGCATCTCCCGGGCCACGGCAACCGGTTGGTGGAGAGTAATGTGCGGGGGCTGCGTTCCCAACTCCTGCGGCAGATGGACGGCACATTGGCGAGTATTCCAAACATTGTGATGCGCGCGCAGGCGAGCGATACGCTGTCACCCGAGGCGCTGCCGGGGCACGACCTGCGGCAGCTGGTTGTACTGTGGCTCACGCGCCAGCGGGCTTCCGCGGAAACAGATGCCGAGCACAGTTCCTCCAGCTTGTCGGCGCCAGCCAGTAGCAGCACCGCGGAGACACTGCCTGGCCCAGAGACGGTGTACGGGGTTTGCGTTCCCTACCTTCCCCGCAGCTGCCTCGACGGCGATATGATGATTGATATTTTGGACGAGGGCCATAACTCCGATGGAAACCCTCGCGGAAGTGACGGCGTGGTGCCAGGCCCGCACACGCAGCAGTTACTCTCCTTTGAGGAGGTGACGCCCGTGCATTGGATAGGGGAGGTGTCCTCTACCACCTCTGTTACCTTCATCAGCTAATGTTAACTCGGGAGGGGGGGCGGGCGGCAACCCGTCGTCCATGTAGTAACGGGTGCAATAGAAAGTTTTACGGAAGCACCGTTCTTGAGGTGGGAAGGGCGGAGGCGGCTATGGGCATATTTTTCCTTTGCTTCTCTCCTCCTTGCTGCTCCTGCGCCTTTCACCGCCTATTTTTTGTTGTTTTCTGTCCGCAGTGAGATGTTGTTTTGCCCTGCCCTCCACTCCTGCGGTTGGCAATGAGAGGGATGGCGTGCTGCCGCTGTTTTATTTGGATCCGTCTGTGTCTATGCGGGTGTGCAGGTACACCGACGTGGCAGCCGGGTGCGGCGCAGTGGGGAGGCGTGGAGGGGAGTGGAAAGGTAAAGAAGACCACTGCGGCGCAGCTCTGATTGTGTTGCTAGCGGGGACATCAAAGTGTGGATTTATTCTTCCTTTTTCTTGTGTATGTGTGTGTTTTCTCGTTTTTTTTTCCCTTGTATTTCCTGTAAGCTCAGCGTATGCGTACGTGCTCACTTGGTCTAAGATGCACTCCCCGCTGCTCTTTCCACTTGTCGTACGCTTGGCAGCATTGCAGTGGGTGGCCTCCACACATACACCGAAGCAAAGATATGTATGTATTATATTACATTATATGTGCTACAGAACCTTTTGAAATATATCTTTTGGACAGGGGTGTTTGTTTGAGTTTCCTTTTTCTTTTTTATATGTGTGTGTGTGTTTTTTTTTGTATTTCGCTGCGGTCAGTGGGTGCTTTGTTTGGTTTTCTTCCTCGCGTAGGGGTGGCAGTGGTGGGACCCCAACCGTGTATCTTGAGCCATGTATATGTATATGAAGATCGTGCTGTGGATATGCGGGGAAAATGTATACCGCCGAAGGATGCCTCTCCGTTTGCGCCTGTTGCACATCCTGTGCAGGGAGCGAGTGAAGGAGAGGCGGGGACGCGTAATCGTGTAGTCGTATAGCTTTTTTGTGTGCCTGCCGCGGCTGTGGAGTATGCACAACTCTCTTGTGTTTATCTGTGTGTGCGTCGCGAGTCCTATTCGTCCTGCACATGTCCTACGCACCTGTGTAACGCGCATCTACGCATCGTGTGCGTATGCGCACTACCTTCAGTTACTTCTTATTCATTCTCTGCCCTGCATGTTTATATGTGGGAGGGAGATAGAAACAGCGTGGACGAATTAGAGAAAGAAAAGGCATATACACAAATACATCCGCATATATATATATATATATATATATATATATATCAGTAGGAGGGGAATAGGTATAACAGATATACATACTTGGCACGAGCGGACTCCAGAGCTTTCGAGAGAGTAATAGAAGGACGGAGGAGATTTGCATGCGCGGAGCCGTGCGTGTGTAAGCTGTGGGGTAAGCAGGCCGGAAAACTCAGAGACGCGCGCAGTACACGCCCGCAANGGGTCTCAGTGGCCGTGGGGGCCATTGTAGTGGTGCTATGCATCCTCG